AGACAAAGCCGAAAGACCTGGGATCCTTTGTTTCCGGCCACACCCAGGGACCCAGAGGACGGCTCACCCCCTACCCCCATTCCTAACCCCCACCCCCAACCCCAGTGTTAACCCTTTCAGGGCCACACCCCCCCCCCAGAGTCTCTCCATTAGGTTATTTTTAGCTGCCGCGAGGACTGGGAGGGGCTCCTCCATCATGGCGCTTGTCTCCAGGTCCAGACTTCCACTCCACCGGTCTGGGCGGGAAGTGGGGGGCAATACTCGACCCTTTCCCCTTCTTAGCAGGCAAGGAACGCTGCCGCGAGAGCCCAGAGCTGGACGGTGCAAAGCCCCCACTTCTACCCCCGCGCTGGAGTTTCAGCTCCAGGACAAGGAAGGAACGGGTGCGGACCCCCGCGCCCCTCCCTCTTTTGTTCAGCTCCGCATCCTCTCAGTCCGCGCCATCCTCTGGCACATCCCACGGCGAAGGGGGCGGGGGGCGGTGGCCGCGGGGGAGGCGGCTGCAAGCCCGCGGGGAAAGGGACCCGAGGCTCCAGCCCCGCCCCGCCATGCGGGGCTCCCCCTCCCCCACATTGTCCCCAGATGCTGGGGGGGAGGGGGCTCCAGAGCCGAGCCGGGCCCCGCCCCACCCGCCGCGCCGCAGGAAGCCTGGCCGGCCTCCCCTGCGGACCCCGGCCGATCCATGGCGGCGCCCACCCCCCACTGCACCGAGACCGGCGGGGCTTGGGGGAGGCGGGGGCCTGGCTTACCGTGATGTGCGGGATGCTCTTCTTGCCCTGGTAAGACATGGCCCCCCGCCCCACCTCTGGCGCCCTCGGCCCGGCCGGGGGACTTTGTGGGGCTGGCTTTCGCTTGGTGCGGCTGTCTCTTGGTCCCGCTTCCCGCGGGCGCGGCGACAAAGGCCCCGGCCCAGGGACGAGAGGCACGGAGGCTCGGCTGTCCGCGGCTGCTCGGCCCGCTCGCCCGCCGCCGCCGCCGCTCCGGCTGCCTGCACCGCCCGGCTCCGCGAGGAGGGCGGGACGAGGGCGGGAGGAGGGGGCTGCAGACAGACAGCTCCTCCCGGCGGCGCGGAGCCCAGCCCGATTCGCCCCTCTCGCCTCGAACCAGGAAGCGCTTCCCTTCCGAACACCCCCTCCCCGGCACTCCGCCCCCCGCCCCCCAACCAACCAGCCCCGCCGACCCCCGCCCCGCGCACACGCCCTCGGCTGGGCCCCGGCCTCGCTCTCGCGATTGGGTAGGTCTGGTTTTTTTCAGGGCTCTTTTGAAAGCCAGAGATGGACTTCGGATGCGCAGGCGGAGACCATGGGCAGCGCCACAGGTGTGCGGTCCCGCATTGGGGGCGGGGGCGGGGGTGGTGGGGGGCTCCCGGAACGTCTGTGTGGGGGAGGGAATGTGGGCCGGATGCCCAGAACCACCCTCCAGCTCCGCTGCTGGAGAGTTTGAGGATACGGTCCAGCAGCCTCCCGCCTTTGACCTCATTCCACAGCCTCCGTGTGTCTGCTGCACCCCTCGCAGCACAGCTCGAGCACATATCCAGCCCCAAGTCCAAGCCTCTATTCAAACTGTGCCCTCTCGGAATATCTTACCTCCTCTACCAGACTCATCTCTAATGGCCTTTCCATGAAGCTTTTCTCTGCCACCCCTCCCACCCCCATTACTGAACGCGTCTCTCCGAGGACTCAGTACGAACCTCCCTGCAACAGCAGGGACCCCCAAAGACAAGGCCCTAATTAGTGGCTGACCTGCTCTACCGTCTGCAGGCCACCCCCCTCACATCACACAGCCCCCTGCCACCGGGGCCACCGGGTCATCCCCAGAGCCGGTCTACCAGACAGTGATTGCTGATTTCAGAGCCAGACCATTGTCACTAAGATCCCCGCGGCCCCCGGGGCAGGCTAGGGGTCAGGCGGGGGTGGGGGGGGGGCGGGGGGGAGCGTGGGGGGGGGCAGAGAAGGAAGTCCTGGTTCCCAGTGGAGAGTGAACACCAACCCAGCACCCATAGTCCAGATGGTGCTTTGGGGAGAGGTGAGGAGCAGGCTTGGGCATGGCTTGATAAACTTGACAAAAAAAAGAAAAAGGAGAGCCCTGGCAAGCCCCCATAACACTAGATAGGTGCCCCAAATCTCCAGGCAGATTAAAATGCCGACCTTGTCACTTTCAGCCTACAAAACTCAAACCGCGCACAGGTTCTGTTAAAAGACCCCATCGTGTATACGTCAAGCTGCCACCCAGAGGAAGGGTGCACTAGGCCTGCTAAAGCCCCCCGGACCCCCCTCCTCCCGCCTCTCAGGTTAGGGCCTGAAGCCCTTACCACCAACGCCCCGGGAGCCAGCCCTCCAGTCCAGGACAGAGACCAGAGATGCCTGTGCCTTAAAATAAAGATGGGATGGTATGTTCACAAAAGAGAAGCAGTTTAGTATTCCAGGAACACTAGGCCATAAGCTTCCCATTTCACAGGTGGGAAATTGAGGCTGGCACACAGGTAGAATATCTCTTGGATATAAAGCATCTTAGCTGCAGCAGAGCAGTATCTGGAAGCCAGGTTATGGCATACCTAGTCTGGAGGTCATTTTGCATTCACTCATTCAGCCTCGGCTCTGAGCTGGGTCCTAAATTCTTGCTGCTGACCGGAAATTGGGGCCTCCCTCTCCCCCCACTCTATATTCCCTTCCTCGGCGTTGCTAAGCGCTAGATTCCACGAGCCAGGGAGTCCCCAGGGCCCATCTGGGCAGGGTAGCTCCAGGGGTGGAGTCGAGAACTCGGGGGAGGGGCGCGGGTTCGCTATTGGCCAAACAGACCACAGCTCCCGAGTGGACTTCCCGGGTACAAAGCGCCGCATTCGCTCAGCCTTGGGCCTTGGCAGACGCTGCGCCTGCGCCACCGAAACCCCTCCTCCCTCCCCAGGAAAGAGGTTTATGGGTTGGGGGGAGGGCGCGGGTCCCTCTGCAACGCGCAGGAGCAGCGAGGCCCGCCGGCTCCGGGACCCGAACCCCGTGGCCGCTCGGCCTGCGGAGAGTAAAACGCTCCCCCAAGGGAGACCAAGAGCCCCTTGGCTTCACGGTCCCGAACCTCGAGTGCTCCTGGAGTCCTTGGCGCGCCCGAGGCGCTGCCTTTTGTCCAGAAACCATGGAGAAAGGGGAGCGGGCTAGAGGGGGAGAGGAAGGAGCAGTGGAAGAGGAAGCGACCAGCGTCCCCAAGGGCCGAGGAGCAGCTGCAGAGCCGTCAGGGGCCGAGCCCAGGGCCGATGCTGGCGTTGGCGACACTGACCGCAGCTCCTGATGGGCGCTCCTCCAGAGCTCCCGGCTGTGCACAAAGCTCTCTCGCCTCCCTGATACTCCACCACGCCTTGAGGCAGGCTGGGAGATGCCACCCCCATTTCACAGATGAAGAAGCTGAGGCTCAAGAGGACGCACAGCCCTGACTGGGAACCACGGTTCTCCCGTATTGGCCTCGGCTTCTAGGTCCGAGGCCCCCGAAGCCTCCCTCTCAGGCTCTTAATCCTGGATCGCAAGTGAGGTCGGACTGCTGGGAAGGAGGTGGGGGAGGGAGAGATAGAAAAGGGATACGGGCGAGGAGACGGGACCCTCTCGATATCTCCGTTCCTTGCCCCCCTTCCCGCCCCCACTCCAGCGCAAGGTAGACCTTCCGCGAGGCTCCAGATTCAGGACCACGGAGAGTTCCCGAGCTCCCCTGACAGAAAACCGGGGGTGTGAGGATGGGGGCTGAAGGAGACCCACAATTGGGTCGGAGCAGCCACAGGTCGGCCCAGCCCCCATTCTTCCAGGAAGCCCCCCTCCCCGATTTCTGTCCAGATCAAACTGCGGCTCCCTCACTGTATGCCTCTCATAACATTTAAGGGGAGAAGGGTTTATAAAAATGATGATAATGATAAAACTCATAACACACGACGAATGTTTATTGAATGCTCGCTACCTGGTGTCATTAACTGATTTAATTTTCACAGTGAGTCTGTCGCGCCCACCCTGGCCTGGGGTGGGGCTGGAGTGCCAAACAGCGATCCCAGCACCCATAGTGGCCTGGGACCTGGGCACTGCTCAGACATGGAGTTCTGGGGTGAGGCGATGGCTCTCCGGCCGTCGGGTGCTCCAGTTTCCGTTCTCCAAGCACCTGACCATATATCCCACAGCTGGGTCGTCTATCCATCCATCTTCCCTCAGTGGCTCTGGTGACCACCAGCTAAAGGGAGATGAGCCACAGGGCCCAAGGCCTGGCGTTCCCTCTGCCTGATGTTTCCCCCGCTTTCACGAGGAGAAAAACCTCCAAGTCTACTGACCCCGGTTCAAATCCCTGCTCTGTCTCCAACTTGCTCTGTGAAGCCAGCACACTGGCGTCGTGCGGGACTCAGAAACATTCTCTGAAGGTGTCGGGTGATTGCGGCTCCCGGTTTCCAGGTCTATCTGCCCGAGGATCTCAATCTTTAACCAAATCCTTCCCCCCAGAAAACACAGAGGGAGCACTCAAGAAAGGCTTAAGCTTTAAGCCATGTAACCAGGGGCATTTCATTAAACCTCTCCCGGCGCCAGTGACATAGGAGGTGCTCTATAATTCCTCATGAGTGAGTGAGTAAATGAAGGGGTGAATGCGGAACAGAGCTACTCGTCTTCCTAAGCAGAGAAGGAGGACCTTGGGATGAAATTAACCTCAAAGGGCCCTCTGCGCTCTAAGGGGCCATGTGGCGGCTTTAGCCAACTTACCTCCCTTCTCAGAACCTCGGTCTCCCCCTTTCTGCCGAGGAGAAGCAGGGGACTGGATCTCGAAAGACCCTCTGGAGTCTCACGGACTATGCTGGCCAACCCTGACCGAGTGGCCAAACCTCTCCGAACCTGCTGTACGATGGAGTGGGGGAGGGGTCTTGGGCACTCTCCCAAGCCCGGGGGCAGCGGCCCCCCGCACTCCGGCCCCCGGGCACTGCCTCCGGGCTGCCCCGCGCCCCGAGGGCCCCGCCCCCTCCGTCCGGCCCACGCGCGCCCCGAGGGTACCTGGCCATTGTCCCGGCCGAGTGGCAGGTCGCGGGGCGCGGGGCAGCGGATGCGCAGCGCGGGCGGTCTGTCGTCGCGCTCGCCCGGCGAGCTGACGGCCGAGCCCGAGGGCTCGCTCACGTCGCTGGCCGTGTCCTCGCTGCCGCCGGGCCCCGGCAGGCCGACCGCATCAAGCCGGCCAGCACTGCGCGGCGTGCGCGCCGAGCCGCGGCGGCCCACGCTGTACGCGTCGAAGTCGATGGTCTTATTCTCGTAGGCGCCCTCCACCGCGGCGAACATGCCGCCGTACTTCTGGCGCGGGGTCTGCGCCGCGCTGCCCGGCCGCGCCAGGTACACGGGCAGGTCATCCTCCGTGTTCCATGCGCGCCGCCGGTCCGCCATACCGGTCCAAGGCCAGCTGCCCGACCGCGCCCCCGCCCGCCCGCAGCCCTGGCCACCACCGTGCGCCGCTCTCCGCGCTCGGTGCGGGCCCGCGGCTGCCCAGGCGCGACTGCGGCCCGGGCAGGGGCGGGCCGGGGTGCGGGCCGGGGCGGGGCCGGGGCGGGGCCGGGGCGGGGCCTGCGGGCGGCTGTCGAAGAGCACCGCGGCCGGCTACAAAGGACCGGGAGGCGGGGACCGCGGCGAGGGCGTGGAGGGACCGTGACGTGCCCTCGCCGCAGCGCCGAGGGCGGGCAGCCCAACCGCAGTGCCCCCGCCGCACCCCCTCTCCCCGCCCCCAGGCCGAGCGCAGGGAGCGAGGGTTGCGAACCACGGGCACGCACACACGGCCAAGCACACGTAGGTTGGTATTAGCTCAGCAGACAATTACGCCATACAAACACGAGAGAGATGTACAAACATGCCGGAGCACACGAGAGTCGCTTACACACACGCTCCCCAGACACACTCAGCCTCTTTCACGCACATCATTGGTAATTTTGCATACACATACATGCTTGTATATATTCCTAGTCGATTACTCACACATACATAGACAAGCCAGAAATTCTCAGTCACCCAGCCCAGCTCACAGACAGCATCACCCCGAGATTGACTGCACATCCAGAGAGACGCTCAGACATTGGGTGCTGCATTCATTCACTCAGTGCTGTTACACTGAGTGCCCCGCTGGTGCCTGGCACGTTTTGGGCACTGACCGACAACACGCTGAACAGAATAGATGGAGTCCTGCCCTCCGGGAGCTGACATTGTCCGGAGGACACACACAGACATCACATACCGGGCAGGGCTGCACATCAGGAAGGATGGAACCGCAGGGTAGGAGGGGTGTGCTAGGACCGCGTTCACGCCGACAAGAGAAATACACTCTTGCACGTGAACCAGTGACTCACACATGTACACGAGGCTGACTCCTGCAATAACCCCACAACAAAGAGATTTTTCATGCCCTTGTACCAAAGACAGACTCACAAGGTGACTCCAACACACACAACCCCGACAGGGCGCCCACACACAAATCCACCCCAGAAATATGGGTAGTCGGGAGCTTAAATAGAAACACGCTCCAGAAAAAGACACACAAAGAGACAGATCATTTCACACACACTGCACACAGTCCTGTCAGTCACCCACACAAATATTCCCCATTCCAGGGTCACCTCCCATGACCCGAGATGCAGCCTACCCTTGCTGAGCTAGGAATTCACAGCCCGGTAGTCCTAGGCTTCCTCTGACTACGGCCAGGGTGAAGGGCAAGGGGTCCAGGGGTCGCTCTGCTGCAGTTTCCCTCTAACCCCCTTCAAAGCCAGGTGTCATGTGCCTTCTCTGGATACCCTGGCTCATTTCTCCCTGATCATTATCAGGGAGAGGGTCTTAAGAGTCTCCAGGGACATGGTGGTCCCAGCTGCTTTTTCTGGATAGGCAGAATTGCCAGCTGCCAACCCGCCCTCCTCTAGCAAGTTCAGACATGCCGTGTCAGGCTGCGTGGGGACCCAGCTGGGACCGTGAGTGCCTCCTCTTGCACCCCCCCGCCCCCATTTCTTCCAGGGCTAGGAACTGTCCCTTCAGCACCCAGCCTCATGGTTCTAGGAGTCCCAGACTCCGGGATGCAGTACAAGTGTATTTTTAACAAAACCTGCTCCCTTTTCTGTGAAATACTGTTTTCAGAACATTCCAAGCAAGGAAATTTTACGTTGGAGAACACATGGAGACCTATTCTAAAGCTCCAAAACTGTTCATGGTGACTAAACCCATAGAAAGGTCTTTCCTGGTGGCTCAGACAGTAAACAATCTGCCTGCAATGAAGGAGACCTGGGTTCTGTTCCTGGGTCAAGTAGATCCCCTAGAGAAGGAAATGGCAACCCACTCCAGTATTCTTGCCTGGAGAATTCCATGGACAGAAGAGCCTGGCAGGCTATAGTCCAAGAGGTCTCAAGGAGTCTAACTTTTTGGGTGACTAACAAACACAAGCAAACCCATAGAAATAGAGAATTCAAGAATCTGAGTTAGATGAAACTTTTGAGGTCAGTCCTCATGCTGGACGCCTGCATCCGCTCTCGCATCTTGAGGAGACAGTCTCTCTGGCTTTGCTTAAATACTGCTGCTGATGGAGACCTCACTGCTTTCCAAGTAAACCCTTTTCACTGGGAGAAAGGGCCAGGCGGTTGTCAAGACTAGGAGGGAGTGACATGGAAGGAGAGAAAGCGTCCCCTCTGTGCAGAAGCTAGAAAACATAAGAATAACTCCCACTTACAGAATTTGCTACATGCCAAGGACCATTGTAGGCACTTCACATGTCATTGCTCTTGCAAGGCTCCTACCATTTTAGCCATCTTTTTCAAATGAGAAAACTGAGTCTCAGGAAGATAAGTAACTTGTCTAGGGTCACAGCTGGTAAATGATTCCACTTTGGACTGAAACACAGTAGTCTGGTCCCAGAATCTGCATCTCAACCAGTATCCTTTACTGCTCCCTGCAAGAACGCTGGCTGAAAAGTTCCCACTGGAAAGGGGAGAGAAAAGCAGGAACCTGGTGTAGGTAGAAGAGTCTAGATTTTTGAGTTTGAATCCTGTGTTCCTTGCAACCTTGGACAACTAAACATTCCACATTCACCCATCACACATCTTGGGTGCCCACTGAGTTACTGACTTTATTTTCCTCCTCATCTCCTGAGTCTTCTAGAGGAGGGGGTCCTGACTTTTACTGAAAACCTGCCATATGTCAGGGTCTGTGCTCACACTGTTTATTTCCACACATTGCAGCCTGCTTTCAGCAGCCCCCTTGGCAGATGTTACCACCTCTGGAATGCTGAGGATGACAAACCTTAAACCCACGGCTCAAGTTAACCTCTGGGAAGTGACCGTGCTGGGATTCAACCTCAGGTTTGTCTGAGTCCTTTCTACAACATCTCCTCAAGACCAGTAACCCCAGTGTAACATAGGAAGGGAGGCAGGAAACACAGCCAGGGTATAAGTTAGGAAATGTGCCCACCAGCCTTAGGGACACCAAGGGGAGGGATGTCTGGCAGAGGCCAATAGAGGAAAGTCCAGAAAACCTGAGCACACTGCGCCTGGTCCAGGAGATGACTGACCTTAAGTCCAGAAAACCTGAGCACACTGCGCCTGGTCCAGGAGATGACTGACCTTAAGTCCAGAAAACCTGAGCACACTGCGCCTGGTCCAGGAGATGACTGACCTTAAGTCCAGAAAACCTGAGCACACTGCGCCTGGTCCAGGAGATGACTGACCTTCCCCGTCCTGTGCTCTGACTGCTCTCAGTCTTCCAGAGACTAAGAAGGAGTGCTCATGAGTGGATTAAACTGTGACATCCAGGGAAGGAAAGCCTCCAGCTCATCCTCTCTGGCTAGGAAGCCTTCCAGGTGATGGCAGAGAACAAACCGGAAACAGAGAGGACAGGAGCCACTCCTCAGCTCTGTGGCATATCCCCCATTAGGGACTTTTTTGGTAAATATACCAAAAAAAGGATTGAAGAAAACTCATAAGTTATAAAATGGAGAAAAATAGAATTGAAGTTTATTGTTAGCGGCCTGATTACACTCTTAGCAAAGCTGTGAGGCAAGTAATGGATTATTGCGCTCATTTTGAAAATAAGAGAAAAGGTTCAGAGAAGTAAAGAAAGCTCCCTCAAGTTATTTGGCCAACAAGTGGGAGAAATCCAGTTCAAATTCAGGCCTATTTGATTCTAAGATGTCTGTTTTCTTCTCCTGCCTCCAAATCAGCTCATAGGGGATTGTGGGAGGCAAAATAATGCTCCCTTCCCAAAAACGTCCACCTCCTCACCCCCAGAACCTGTATGTATGTAACCTTACATGGCAAAAGATACCTTGCAGATGCGCTAAAGTTCAGGATCTTGGGGTAGGGAGATGATCCTGGATGATCTGGGTTGGCCTAATGCAATCACCAGGGTCCTTATAAGTGGAAGATGGAAGGAAGCTGGAGGGTCAGAGGAGGAGATGTGGCAACAGGAGCGGGTGCAAGAGCCAGAGTGAGATGTGAAGATGCAGGGCTGCTGCTGGAAGCCTAAGAAGGCAGGCAGCTTCTAGAATCCAGAGAAGGCAAGGAAGCCAATTCTCCCCTAGCCTCCCCAGAAGGAGCACAACTCTGCCAATACCTTGATTTATAGCCCAGTGAGTCTGGTTTTGGCCTTCTCATATGCATAATGGTAAGATAATAACTATGTATTGTTTTAAGCCCTTAGGTTTATGGCAATTTGTTACAACAAAAGTAGTAAAGTATGTGAACTATGAACTGTAGCCCACCAGGCTCCTCTGTCCATGGAATTGTCCAGGCAAAAATACTGGAGTGGGTAGCCATTTCCTCCTCCAGGGGATCTTCCCAACCCAGGGATTGAACCCGCGCCTCCTGACAGCAGATTCTTTACCACTGAGCCCCCTGGGAAGCCCCAAACTGTTTATTCCCCACCAACGTCAAGAGTCTTGGATTTGGTGCCTTTTTGCGCTGTGTCAGGGTCTACAACACTTTGTAATGAACCAGCAGTAAGTTAAACATTCAAAAAGGAAAAAAAGAAAACTTTACTTGTGAAAAAGGATACATTTTAATGTACAAAATTACACAAATTATACATTTGACTAACATAGAAAAATACATCTTGATAACAAGAGAAAATGCCAGCCTACTATACACAAGATTGAGCAATCAATACAAATCTTGAAAACCCGGAAAGGAGTGCTGAGTCCCAACTGGTCAGGAATCAGATGGGCATCTCCAAGAACGGATTGCTGTGTCCATTTCACTGCAGGTGGGAGTTTTGGGACAGCCACTGCTCCAGGACCCAAAGGAGGGTTCCACCACAGAACATCCAAAGGGAAGTTGGGGGGGGGGGGGTGTCTGCCTGTGTTGCCAGACCACCCCCATGTGAACCAGTGCTTCAAACGGAGGGGAGGGGCAGAGCATGGACTGCCA